TCAAGTATTTAAGTCAAGATTTGAGCTTTAAGAGAGGAGAGTAACTTCAACTCCCTCCAAGTTTAAGAGTTAAGATTGGAAGTACAAACAACTTCCACTAGTCAAAGTTAAGTGTTTAAGTAAATTACTCAAGTATTAGAAGTATCAAAACGTAAGGGCGTAGACTGACCCCAACTCACTCACCAGTTCGAAGAGGAAGAGCTGGATGAGCAGTTAGAGAGACGGTTCGAGGGAAACCAGCTGGAGGAGGACGGTACGAGCATCACAGAGGATGTCTAGTCAGAGTTTTTCACACAAGCAGCAACACTTGAGACTAGTTAGTTATTATGTTTTATGATTATGGGTATAGACTGGAGATCAAGTTGAGTTTTTAAAGTTTGAGTTTAATTTGCCCACATGTTAGGGCTTTGCTTTGAACTACAAGTGTGTGTTTTCAGTATTTTATTTATGAAAATTTTTCCCGCTGCAACTTAAGATTTGAGTATTTTATTTATCAAGGGCATTTTAGTAAAAGTAGTACCCGGCCGGGTTAGGGTGTTACAGAGATTGGTGGTCGGAAGAAGTATTTCATCACTACAATGACGTTTTTCATCTTCCCATCTATATCTCATTATCTCTCTATGGAGTAACTTCCTTTCACTTGGGTTTGAGGAACCCTAGTCATGTTTTGTTGATTTGATTATTGTATGATTACTCTTACTAGTTAAACCTGAGTTCATATCCAATTTATGCATGTTTTATGAATCAATTATGCTTTAATAGAGATTATTATTTTGCTTTGACCAATGAGAGAAAATATTTTATTAGGTTGATATGTCACCATTAATTGGAAGTTGGGGATCGATTGTGCGAGAGTACTCGATCAATCTCTTTGTATTGGTGAAAATCTTACCCATTATAGGGATTCGAGTGTGAATTGCTTTTATTATGTCTTAGATGAGGATATTGTCTCTCTAAGAAGTCTATTCAAAAGGTTCTTATCTTCTTTAATCAAGATTCGTGGCTTGTTAATTGGGCATCACGACGGTTGGACCCGTCGCTCTCAATTCTTCTCCAAATCGGCCCATTTTTTGTGGGCAACTTCATCTTCGGTCCATGAACCTTCTCTTGAAATTTCAGCTTGTTTGGACATTTTTTGACCATCTGCTCTTCAAAAACTCTTATCTAGTCCATAACTTGAGCTTTCGGTGTCAGAATCCATCTTTGTTTGGGCCCACAATCTTGTATTCTCGACCTCCTTCTGATCTATCGGGTTCCTTGGTGATCCATATTTGTATTGAGTAGTTTATAACCTTGAAAATTACAAAACAACATCATAAAAAGCATCAAATAGTAAAGAAACACACTCAAGGTCTATCATAGCATATTAATCAAATAGTTATGAATTTCATATGAAATATAGTAAAAACTACTAAAGATGAATTGATAAAAGGGAAATTGTATGGAATATGAGAATGATAAACACTATAAATAAAGTGTCATCGGAGCATTAAATGTTGGCAATCAATAAAATTGTCAGACGACCTTGTCGGAAAACTCCGACTAAAAATAATAGATAAGTGGACACATTTAAGATGACAAATTTGTCTCACTTAATAACATCACAGTTATTTCTCTTAAAAGTTAACTCTCTTACTTGATTGTTGAATGACTTACTGGCTAAGGAAGTCCTTCGGTCATATTATTTAGAGGTACCTACTAATATAATGGGACTATGTACATTACCAAAGGATAGATATCACACAAGAATAATTTCATATAATTTTAGATTTTAAGGAGGAATGCAAACAACATTAGTTTTTGTAGATTTATAGGCTTGGGTTGCATTCCATAAGTATTCCTGATTTTATTTACCGTTTCAGACTCAAAGTTATTGTCCAAACTTTTAAAACGTAATGAAATCATGACCAAAACAAACCAATACCTTGACCCAAGGTTGTTAAACCCCTATCGGACTCCCGGTGGGACGATCTGACCTAAGTCGGGATTCAAAACGGCATTCAGAAAGCCTCCCAGTTTGACCCTTAAAGAGGGAGAAGAAGAGAGGAGGAAAAGGAACGAAGTAAGCGAGATGGTGGATGGGTCATAGAGATTAGATAGGTTTGTTTGTGAAAAATAAATTATTAATAGATACATGTTAGATAAATTTCATTTAAGTCATTAAATTTTTTATTACTACCTTATTTGCATATATATATATATATATGGTTATGTCTTCGGTGCACTCACATTTTTTGGTGCATTCAATGCACTCGCTTCATATTTGTCATTATGAGCATGTGATTCATGTCAAAACAATGTTAATCATCACGTATGATACGATGAAAAAGAAACCCCATGAATTAGCACAAAAATTATTCAAAATTTACATTAATTTGAAGAAATTATGATTTATAGATTTAGGGTTAGGGTTAGGGTTCATGATTTGGGGTTTAGGGCAAAAGTTCAAAATTGAAGGTTTAGGGCTTAGGGTAATGCATTGATTAGTTGTGATCTTATATTATATTATCATATTACACTAATCTTACCAATTAAAATAAAAAATTGATGTCTTAAGGCTACTTTTAGAGTTGGGTGCATTGAATGCACTCATTTTTGTGAGTGCACCGAAGTAGCCACACCATATATATATATATATAAACATCTAAAACGAACGGTCGGACCCTAATCAGATTGTTGAACCTCAAACCCCTTGATCGGCTCAAAAAGGGTATGCATTTTTTCTCTATGTTGTTTGGTGAGGTGGAAAAGTCAAGCGTGTGTACGGACTAACATTCCATCTTTTAAGCAAACAGAAAGCTCTCTCCCTGCGCACAAGCTTCTCGTTCAGATCTGGCAGCGGGATTCATTCCAGCTTTTGCAACAATAATAATATTAAACAAAGAAGATCGGCAGAAAGCAAGCAATCAGCTGCAGCGGGAGAGGGCGTATCCATGGAAGCTTAGAGGTGGCCAACCAACCCAGCTTCTGCAACTCTTTCGCATTTCGTAGAAATGGATTCGGAAGAAGCGACTTCTTCAGTAGATGAAGACGCTCCGGTTGCTGGGACGCTTGGAGCTGACAGCGGAGCAGCTGATACCAGGGGGAAACATCGGATTCTTGCTGAGCTCAAGCGCATCGAGCAAGAAATCAGCTTTCTGGAGGTTTACTATTACTTCTACTACTCTCAAATCCATTCTTCATTGCTTGATGCTACTTAAAAGTTTCCCCCTTTCCCAAAAGTGATTCAATTGTTGTTTCCTCCAGTTGTTTGTTGAAATGCCCACTCTCCAGTCAGTTCCTTCTCTTGAATATGAATTCTGATAAGTGTTCACGTGGAAGAGGAAAAAGGAGTCCAATTTCTTTGTGATTCTAGGTCAAACTTACACTGGGCGGCGTAAGCACACATTTTGTTTTTCCAAATGGAAAACGTTTTTGACTGGATGAGGAATCGGCATTTACCCACTTTGATAGTCTCTGCCATCTGCTGCTGTTTATTTTTATTTTGGCCATCCATTTTTGGTTGCTGGTTTTGTTACTCAAAATTTCCAAACCCGGTTTGAATACTGGTTCGATCAGTCCCAAAATCTGTCACATTCTTCAGATGGAGTAGGAATATGTAGTCTTACTAGTTTTGACTTTGTACAATGTCATTTAATGTGGATGTAATGTAGACCTTCTGGGATCGCAGTGGCTAGAGGGTTGGCTAGGTTAGAGAGACAGAATGAGCCAACTGCTGGGTCCAAATTTAATAGGGCCACTAGAGTCTACATTCTTCTTCACTTGTCTCTTTGTCAATCCTACATTGCCATCATTGTGGGTTTCCCTTCAATGTTTTTGGAGATATTATTGTGGCCAGCCATGCAAACAAGCTTGCATTAGCAAGCAAAATCTAGCTGGATGAGAATTTAGTTCAGTATATGTTTGTTGTGACTTTGAGTAGGGAGGTTAACTGAGTTGCTGCTGTTTAGTTTGATACTGAATGATTCACTGGTGCACACTTTGTGATTTCAGGAGGAACTGGGGGAACTAGAGAAGACGGGCAGTTTATCGACTGTATGTGAAGGGTAGGTAACCGGTAGTCGATCAAGAAGAGAGCCAATGGACGATGTTTGTTGGCTAAGGTTTCTGATTATTAAGGATGATGATGAATGCTGTTTATTGTGTGTTTCCCTAGGTTCCTTCGCAATGTGGAGATGATACCTGATCCACTTCTCGCAATGTAATTTCTTCTGCACTGCCATTTTCTGTACAGATATGCTCCTTCTTACCTTTATTCTAACTTTGATCATTCACATTATGTTTATGAGCTTCTTTTGATCTCTTCTGCCTGCAGAACAATTGGACCTGCAAACCCAGTATGGGATCGATGGTTCGAGGCTCCACCAGATGCTGGGGGTTGCAGCTGTTCAATACTCTGAAGTTGAACGAAGAAAAAAAAAAGACAGTCAAATCTAACATTTGTTTTCTTGTCCAGTCAAGAGACAGGGAGAGAAAGAGTGAGTTTGAGGCACATCACCCATTTTTAGCAAGCTCGTCAACTGGAATATTTTTCAAGACCAAAGTGCAAATATCTGAAAACTTGTCCTCACGATCAGAGTCCATAGAGAAAAATTATGAATTTGTAAATCAAAATTGTATTTTTGCCAACCTAGAAACAGAAAGAGAATTTGGAAATCCATCCCACTCCTTTCAACCACTTTGTACCTTAATCTGTTTATACTATTTTGGCTACTCCTGTTCAGCCTGGTATCCATATTATCTTGAGCTGAAGGAAAGTGAAACACACTGGAATCCACTTTACACAGTTTGATGAAATTGATATTCCATGTGGGTTGAGCATGATTTGGTTAGGTTTCATGTTTATACTTGTTATTATAAATTTTGGGGAAGGGCTTGAGCATAAGACTTCTTTTTTTTTTTAAATAAAAATAAAAATAAACACTATTTATTGATGGGTTAATATTTCATTCCTGGTTGAACTGTACCCAAGTAATCAAATTTGGCTCGTGGTCTACAAAGAGTCTCAATAAATTTCATTAGTTACTTTTCATTTGATTTTACATAAAATTCATCCAAAAGTGGAATCTTTGAAATTCACTCCTAATACATTCTCTAAGGATTGTACATATTTCATAAATTGTAACATTCCATGGGCCAAACCTGTTATTTTCTTCTGAATGATAAGTGTTGTCTCCAACGAAAACCCCAAAACTAAGAAATGGTCAACAAGTAGTAGCCTGGAGACAAAGGGTCGGCAGAGTAACCAGAGTGAATACTACCGCTCTTGATAGTTGCAGAACAAAATTCATTTTGACAGGGATCAGCAACATTTATAAGACAAATGGAAGGTGAGCGCAGTCAGCTAACTAATTTCTACATGGATCTACACAGAAGCGATTGACATCTATATTCCCAATAAGAAACCAAGAAGTGGAGAGCTTCCAATCTCCCAGCCAATTTACAAGGATATCTAGTTCAAGAAATGAAACTGAAACACAGTGATTGCTAGAGAACTTGGCTGGACAAGAGATGCCGCAGCTGCAGTAGGTGTTCTTCATCTGAAATGTGAAGGGACTGACGACGAACATCATCAGTAGCTATTAGCTTCAGTCTGCTGGTAGCTACTATCTTTCTCTCTTTCTCTTAAGAATGCATCTGTGAGCCTCCCTATTGGTTGTAATGTTTGCTTGGTAGCAACTGTAGACCTGTTTTGAATATCCTGCATCAGACAGAAACGGATAAGTGGTTTTTTTCAGAGAAGGAACTAACAAGTTCAGGCCAACGATTCAGGTCAAAAGCTCATCATATATGTTCACGGCGTATTTTCAACTTCGGACTAACATGTACCATCCAAAGCATATTATCCATTATCATCAATTCAAGCTATACAGCAAAGATCAATGAGATGCAAACAGGAACTCAAGAAAACTTATTCAACTGCAAACTGAAACCGCTCACATATAGTTGTTGCGTTACCTTGCTTATCAAGAACCACTTGTTCTTATGCCGGCCAGCTGAAACCCTTATAGTAATAGAAATACATGTCCTGCCGAGACATAATTTGTCACTTGCTATCCTCTTTCCTGCAGTCCTAAGCTAACTCCCTGTCCTTATCTATGGGCTGGAGATATGATAGTTTTGGATTATGAAACAAGAGCATTCTATACTTCTCTGTCTATCGCTCTCTCCTTTGTCTATTATATTCATGTGACGGAGCAGGAATTTCATTGTGCTTTCAATAGGCTAGCTCTCTCTTGCTTTAGTTAGTTGAAGGCTTCTGTTGGCTGGACCAAAGGATCGTTCTCCTTTTCTTGAGCGTAAAGGATGTCCCACTTTCAACCTGTAACTGACTTCAATCTGTCTTAGTTGGTTGACGCATATATCTCTTGAATATGTTTAGGATTCAATCCAGCCCCAAGCGTACCTGGACCTGTTTACCGGATCCAACGATTAGAGGTCTGCCCGTCCGGTGTCGGTCCCTAAAAATCTTTCAATATGTATGGCGGCACCCCGCTTTCCAGGTGGCACTCAGAAAGAAAAGGAAAGCGGGATGTTGCTCAAGCGATGGGCCCTCCTCACCTCTCCCCATCCCTTTCTCACAGAAGCAACCAAAGTAAAGGTTACTCGCTATGAGAAAGGCCTTTCCTTCCATTCCATATTATTTTAAATCCATGTATGAAGAAATGCTGTCTTAGTACTATCTGCGTGTAATCCTCCTAACACTGTCTTATTTCTTGCACAACCAAAGGAGCTATCAGGGGAATAAAGCACCTCCTCTTTTCTTTTCTTGAAGACAGATAGGGCATTGGAACCCTAGGGAAGCGCCAGTCGTCTGCTCCAAACAAGAAAGTCGGCTTGGTCCCCCCCTAAGAAGGTAGGTTCCTCTATGAGGAATCTGTTTGTGTGAAATAAAGAAGTCAGGCTGATCATTCTGTCTTTGTGAGACATAGGTCATCTGGTATTGTGATACTTATTGTATATGTTGATGATATACTGTTATCCGGTAGTGATGTGATTGGCATTGAAGAAACCAAGAAATAGTTGCATAAACTATTTGTTACAAAAGACCTCGGTCCAGATGAGAGGAATAGACGAAAAACACAAGAGATAAGAAGCAACTGAAGAAGTGAAGTGGTGAAAACTATTTGAAAACTTTCAAGCTGATACAAGATATCTCTCTAAAGCGCACAGCTCTCAAGCTTAGCTTACAACTCAGAAGCTCCCAATTTCTTCTTGCTTTTACACACTGACGGGACCGTCCCTCTCCTTTCAGTCGAGCAACTTCATTCCTCTCCCGTAGCCTCGGTATAAAGAACTATAGACGGAACCCACGGGCATTCTTTCTCCAAAGAGTAGGGCCCAATGATACGAATGTGGAAAGCTTTTTTCTTCACTATTGCCAGTTGGTTCAGCGCCTCTCTTTCTAGGTGCTCATTCCTGTGATCTGACAGCGAAAGGGTTCTTCACTAGTGACTGATCCGCACATGGTACTACAATTGAACTGCTTTTGATTCTTCCTTCCTTACATATCATATGTGGATATTGACATTGAAAAGCCTGTCTGTCTCCGCTCTATCTTATCTGGAAAGTGGGAAAAACACTCCCCTGTTGGTTAAAGCAGACTCCTATGCCTATTATGATGCGGGGGAATCGACCCACTTTTTCAGATGATTTGTGGACGGATGGCCAATAGCCAATGCCGTTACCAATTCAACCGATTGAGAGAGAGAGGCCCATGCTTTCCTTAGTTTGGATTTCGAGAGGTTGGTCCGTTTACCTTGAAAGCGATACAATCAATGGCAGGTTATGAAATACATTAAAATGGATGAATGTGAACGAGATTGATATCCCGCAGGAATTATCTTTTTGATGTGATGCTTCTTATTTAGAGTTATTCAAAGACCAAGTTCTCCATCCTATTTTTGATTCTTTGAACTTGGCTTCTTACTATTGAAAAGAGGCCAGACGAAGTAACTAAAGCTCAATGCAGGTTGAACTCTCTTGAATCTAAGCCTCACTACCCTCTTAGAGCGTTACCAAGGAATTTTGGGCGGCCCCATATGGATTCAGTTTAATAGATTCCGCTTAGGGGTTTATGAGAGATTGATGGACCTAAGCTAAACTTATATATAAGATTGAACCTAAACCAAAGCGCCTATAAACTGAATTAGGAGAGCAGAGGTTTAATCCAAAACCAGGAAAGCAAGCTATATCGAAGCCCAATGCCAAGCAAAGCCCTAGACGACTACAAGTGAATAAATTGGGTTCCACTAAGCGCCCTTAACCCGACACAAGATGGGACCCTATTTGGATAGTGGGCTTAGTCAGCCCAACATAGGTTGTCCACAAAAAATGGGAAGTTCCCGTGATTTAAGGTTTCTGGATATCCTACCCTAATACGAGAGGATTGGGCTTAGAACAAGACCCATCGGTGGATAAGATCACATCCTCATAACAAAAAGGTGTACACGTTCGGCCTCACTCAAGGTAATGGGCCAAACCTAACGAGTCCAAGCAAATTTTATCTTATTTTATGACAAAACCACATATTGGTCATTTTTTCAGTCATTTTCTCATTTCCTCAAGCAAAGCAATAGGGTTTTACCAGTCCCAGCAGAGCCTGTGATAAACACGGATTTGCCCTGAGGGATGGCAGACAAAATATGCTTCTGTGAGCAGCGATTCAACTGAATGTTCCAAACGCATCCAGACAAAATAGTTTTGATTATTTTCCTTTAGCTGGGCAAAGGTCCCCCCACTTTTCTCGAAGTAAGCGGAAGTCGGTTTGAACTTCCCGAAAGTAGGGGCTTTTGAAGAGAGGAAGAAAGCTACTTCGCACCTTAAGCCTACTCACCCAGCGCTTGAAGCTTCAAGTTCACCCAACTCCTACTTAACGGGGCGCTGAACTTGCGCTTTCAAGACGAGGTCTCACCGAGCCTTCAACCGAGTTAAGCGTAAGCCAGTGAAAGTTAGGGAAAAGGTTAGGTCTTGGGCCATGCAATGCAGCGAGGGCTTGTTAGTATTGGTAGGTGACATATAGCCCGTAGCATTCTTTCTTCGATCAGGTTCCACTGTTCATACCGAGCTCGTACCCAATCGGATTATTCCATGAGTACGCGTAGGGACCGTATACGAAGGATAATATCATATTGTAACCCCTTTTCATGAGCTCAAGCTCACAATACGACTTACTTTAGCAATGACGAGACCGTTACATCTACGTCTCAACTATGGAAGTTCCGCTCAGGCAAAGCTACCGGTTGCAAAGGAATGAAAAAGCTAAATAGAAGATGAAAGTATCCCCAAGGCTGGTACCAAATCCTACTCTTTTATCAGAAGCAGGTGGCATGCATGTGGAAGCAAGGGAAGGTGTAGCGGCCGGAAGAAGATATTCTCCAACCTTAGCGCCTAGCGCCATTCCCACGGGTTTAACGACTGGTTTAATTTCTGCAACAGGTTTCGAAAAGAACTCGACTTTGTAGGTTTTGGCAAATGTTTAAGAGTCCATCCATCCGTCATCCGAAAGGGTAAAGCTACCGGTTGCAGCAGTTACAGCTGTAATGGCTGGTGTAGCTGCTGTGATGACATAGGTTTCCGGGGGTAGCGGCTGGTTACATTTATTTGGAAGAGAGTTCCGCTGCCGCAGGTTTAAAAGAAACTTTTGAAGAGGTTAGAAATAGCAAATCTGCGAGAAAGGAGAGATCAAGACAAGAAAAAAAATTATCCGTAGAATAGAAAATTCCTATAACCTCCTCGGGGTTTAATTCTATTATGCCACCCGCATGAAAGTTATTAGCTCACATATCGGATGTAGCGGCAGGAAAGAGCTTAGATGACAGGCTTAGGACAATTGCCTGGTCTGCCGATGCTTTGTCGGGTAAAACTACTAAGGTTAAAGCCCTTTAGAAGGTGTGGCCATTGAGAACAAATATCTGCCCTAGGAAAAAAAATCATAAGATACGGTACCTGAGGAATTAAATAGCTATTCTGAGACTCCAAATCCCCGCAAGGGCAAAGCTGCCTGCAGTCCTGACAGGAAGGACGAGATCAGGTAAGAAAAATACCAGCCGAGGTAGATTCTGATAGTGAGAAGCTCAGTTCCGTTCCCCCTTTCTTTCGGACTTCGTGCACGGGCCTTAGGAGGACGGCACGAAAACTTACGGCCGAGAGGACCGAACCAGAGGACTGATTCTACCGGCTCCCCTTAGTGCGTTGCGTCTTCCGTAGAGGGAAGAAAGAAGTACTCACTCACAGGAAACTTCGGTCAGTTCTCTCTCGAATAGGGTAACGGTTCAGGGTGAAGTCACGAGTCGAATAAAAGGTAGTTAACTCTCCTTCCTTCATTCCCGTTGTAGAGATTGATTATCTGAGATAGGCGCGGAAGGCTTCTATTCAGGGCGGAGGAAATATCTAAATGAAGCCTTCTCTTATATACGTCAATTTTTTCCGTGATCTTATCCTTCCATAGAAGAAAGATTGAGATGTCTACTTCTTCTTTCTTTTCCGGGTAGGATAGTCCTCATCCAGTCCGTCCTGAACCTCATTTCCACTTTACCAATTATCGTGAAGCATCCTATTTGCCTATGATCGCATTCAACGAAAGCCATCAGGATCAGACAAGGAAGGAAGCCGCTAAACCGGATACCCTTTTGTGTAAACATGTTACCGAATTCATATGAAAAAGAGTATCAGAAACTCATTAAGCTAATGTTCCAAGAGCAGAGCTACGAAAAGGAAGTGCTGCTGTAGCTGTTGCTGGTTTTTTAACAAAAACCAGGGTCTACTGGTACTGGAGAGCTTTTTGTTATTTCTTAAAGGTCTCCCTAGGTCTTTTCGGCAGAAAGAAGAATGCCTCTGGAATAAGCTAGGAGTGAAAGAGTTAACCAATGGGTTGCTGCTTAACCCTCTAGTGATAAGGAGAGGAACGAAGTAGCTCGACCGATAGGGAGAGGAACGAAGGAACGAGCGGAATTCGGGTTGCATCCAAAAAGACCGGGAAAACGCAAAAAGGCAAATTGGAGTTCCACAATGAGATCTTCTTGCTTCTGCTCATTCCCACCCGTCCTCAGTTCGGATTGCAGGCTGCAACTCGCCTGCATAAAGCCGGAATCGCTAGTAATCGCCGGTCAGCCATACGGCGGTGAATTCGTTCCCGGGCCTTGTACACACCGCCCGTCACACTATGGGAGCTGGCCATGCCCGAAGTCGTTACCTTAACCGCAAGGAGGGGGATGCCGAAGGCAGGGCTAGTGACTGGAGTGAAGTCGTAACAAGATAGCCGTACTGGAAGGTGCGGCTGGATCACCTCCTTTTCAGGGAGAGGAACGGAACCCACTCGCTCCCCGCGGTGACGGGGGAAGGAATGGATTCTCTTTCTTCCCTCAGCGAACTGTAAGGCTTTTGAAGAGGAGACCATCTGCTCATTCGCCATCAGGAGTTAAAAAAAACAGCTCTGTTCTAGGGCAAAAAGCACACACTGAGTTAAAAATAAGTAAAAGAAGCCCAAGACATGGAACGAGCGAGGATGAACAGACATGACACGATAGTAATAAAAGACAGGATGGTAAGCAGGAGCATAACATTGCCGTCAGTCCTGTCTGCTCTATTTCTTAAAGACCGGCCTTTCTTCTTTTATGGCAGGATATGAAGACGGAAGCAAAGCATTAGGACTGTATATTTATTCCATCCTATAGTGAGCTGCTGAAAGACGTGCAGTTAGCCTTAGCGAGTCATCAGTATGCAGGGAAAAGGGTGGGTTAGCATATAGAAAGACGTGAGATTGAAGCAAGTATTCCTGCCTATCATTACCATAGATTCTAGTCTTTTTCATTTTGATCCTCTCACTTCCGGAGTTGGATGGGCATGAAATTTAGTAGTTGACCCACAAGCAATACCGAACGAAGAAAAAAAAAATGGAGGGATGACTCGATCTGTCCCGCCTGACTGAATAAGCCTTCCTGGAAATGCTTCTGAAAGACGGAAAGGATCCGAAAGATTCGATGCGTATTCGTATTGAATGCACAGGTAAAGATTTTTCGTAAAACCCTTCAACTCTTCATCATGAGCTTGAGATTAGAACTTGGAACATCACTTTGATATAAAAGATTTTACCATCTCTCTTTTGAAGATCAGGCAGGAACCAAAAAACCCAGCAGTTGAGTACCGAGAAGAGGCTATCCAGGCGAAGGTCTTCTTTCGACGCATTCTGAACCTGAATACTGAATGCCCGGTAGGACATCCAGTAGAAGCTCAGGGACGGATGGAAGAGCTGCTGTTAGGGAAGCAATGATAGAGATCCTTAGCAAATGAATTACTTATTCGATCAAATAAGGTTGTTAAGAGGTTTTTTGATCGCCCTTGATTGAATAGGCAGGCAAGGGCTTTTTACCCGCGGGAACTTACGAATAATGATTCCCCCTTGAAAGGAACTTGCTGATAAGAGACTCTTTTCGATCTAACTCAAAGGAAGTAGCCCCAGGAGTCCAGAGAGCAGCCAAAAGTCGGAAGATGTTTTAGACTAGCGTGACCGGAACCGAAGAGGATAGAAAGCCCGCTGCTTACCAGATTATGCTAGCAGCTTCACAAAGACTCATTCGATCTTCTATAGCGACTGCCGGGAATAATAGACTGAAGGAGGGGAGGGTCTTGCAATCTTTCCAATCGGTGGTTCAGGGGACCTTTTCTAAAGCCAATCAATCGGTGCCCGTTCATTATTAGAATAGACAATAGCCCTGTTCACCATAAGGAGTTTGAGCGTAAAACCCTTCGGATATACCACATAGGATGATTCCACTCTTATTCGATGAAATGGGATAATAGATCTTTCTATATCTTACGCAAGATCTGCTTTCTCCTTCTTTCGTTCTGAGGCTTGCTTCTCTTATTTAAGACATTTTTAGAAAAGGTGAAATAGCCTGTAGCATACTTTTGTACGGTATCCCCCCTCCCCTCTTTGATAGTGCCAAAACCAAGAGCAATTGACCCACAGGCAAAGGCGTAGGAAGCACAGGTAAAAGAAGCAGCACTCGCCGTAGGAGATCGAACAGATCCGGTTGGTTGATTCAAGTCTAAGTAGCATCAAACAAAGCGATATACAGGTGGTTTCCCCCCATTGACCGAGTGAAGTAACAGCAGGTATGGCATCATAGCAAAAAAAAAGGCCTTTCACATCTAGGCAAGTAGGCCTTGATTGACACGTACTTAGGTTCTGGTGGTCACATAGACATCTCACTCCGTGCCATGAAGAAGGAGCGCGTAAATCATTCATTCTTAAGCCCCGCATAAACATTCACTCCCAGAGCAGAGAGTCACTATGGCTAGATCAGAAGAACGCACGAAAAGAATAAATCTAAAAGACTGCTGGTTGAGAAAGAACAATAGAGATTGGTGAGGCTACCAGCTCTGTTGCTGATTCAACTCAATCCACAGATGAAACTAGCTCAGATGCTGCCTCCCCCTTATGGTGCTGCTCCTGATTCTCGGTCAACTAAATCAACGGCCAACTACTGACTGAGTCAATGTAAACTGGATCAATAGGAAGAAGTTGAATTCCGTGCCGCAGATATTTTTCTAAAATATAGATCTAAATCTCGCTTTCGAACCATAAAAAGAGTATGGCTCTAAAAAGAGTAACTGCCGCAAACTCCAGTTTGTTCCGTAAATTGTTGGTGGTGCTTAGATAGTCACTGATGCTGGTTATGAATAAAATGATGAAAATGGAACTAGAACTCGGTCTCAATCTGTGGGGTAGGGATCTCGGAGAGGCATGAAGTTCTCGCATTTGAATTATATCAAGAAGGAGAGGAATGGGGAAGGAGACAGGACGATGCCCCCCGGCGGGGGAATAGCCTTTGACCTCTCTGCTTCTTACGGAAATATCGTAATAGAAGAAAGAGTCGACTTCCTACCTCACCGACAAGTTTTAAATCTTAATGCAGTCAAGGAAATTTTCATTTCAATTATTACTTAAAAAAGGCTTTTCTGGGCCTTCCTCTAACAGATTCAATGGCATCGCTCTTTCAAGCATGAGTGACCAGTCGACGAGAGGAAGAAGACTTTCTGTGGTGACGGAGAATTAGGGTTCGAGAAAAGAAAGTAGAATCCTCGATAGTCAATTCTACAACCCTCACCAATGTTAACAGAGTTCGAAGGGGGCTCTCTTTCCTATTTCCCAACTCGTTTAGGCGGATTATCTTCCCGTTGTCAAGGGGGATTTATTGTGAAGTACTTTAGAGTAAATCCCTTGAAAAAGGTCCGTCACCGGGCGAGCATTTAACCCCACAACGGAATGGCTGGAGTTTTTTTAACTAATTACTTACACGGCTCGATCTACTACGAAAGAAGCGTCACAAGATCTTCTCGTGGGAGGCATTCTACTAGCAAAGTCCTATAAGTGGTAGTACCTAGTTGGGGTTTAATTCTTTGGCGAAAGGGGTCTCCGGCGACCCAACAACTTTCCGATGTGATTGACAAGCAGCAGGGCATGTTTAATTCATCGCGATAGGAGTTCACCATAAGAAAATCAGTCATCCAACGATAAGGGGGCCATTCTGAATCCGCTGATCAGGAAGAGAGAAAGCTTTCAGTGCAGGGGTTTTTTATTCGAAACGATGCACAAGGCATGGAAATTAAAGGCGGGCGTAAAAGCGCGGGAGTTAAGCAGCAATCTGTTCATATTTCAGTTCTTTCATTGGAAAGATAAGCAGAAGGTTCTTGATAATGAACCTTGGAATTTTGATGATTCTGTTCTCATCCTGAAATAGAAGGAAAATAGAGAGACTTTCCAGGCTCTCTAACAGAAAGAAGGGAAAGAAAAGTACAGACGTTAATCTGACTTAGTAAACCTGTTGGTTCCGTCTCATTTTGATCTCGATCAAACCTATCCCTTCCGAAAGGGGATTTCAACCTAAAGAATCCGTAGGTGGCTCTTAGGAAGCCAATGCCATCTATCGCCTACTCAACTGAATTGTCAAAGCACCATTCCGCTCCTCAAGAAGGTCTTAGCTCACCTTCTCTTTCATGCGCCTTTCTTGCTTGATGGTCCCTCTCGATCTCCATTTCTTCAATCTTACTGGTCAAGCTTTCCACTTCTTTTGCTAAGCAAATATTATATTCCTCCACTTTCTTAGCATTAAGCCTCATCTCCTCAAATCATTCTTCCTGCTTTTCCCAGATAGAGTCATCAATAGTAAAGAGCGGGTGCCCTGGCATCTGTGTTTTGCCTTTCTGGGAAACTTATGGAAACAAAGAGTCATTCATAATTGTCTTCCTCCAAAGCTCATACCCTGGCTTTACTACTCCCTCAGCCCGATTGGTCTTTGCATAACTCGGAACCATCCAGGCTTTCTCAGCTGCTGAAAGAAATTTCCAGATATCATAGGCCTTCAACTAAAAAGTCCACTCTCGGAGGCGATCAAGTGGAAAAATGTCCTGCTCATATCCAGCTTGCCTCAAACCAAGCGCAGGGGCGCAAGCTATTCCACTCCATGGACCAATCAGAGGTGTTGGATCACCAACACCACCTGTTTGCTTCTTTGTTGGTGATCCAACCCCTTCTGTGCCGGCTGAGACAGTAAATGATGGACATAGCTTAGTCAACAAAGCTGCCCTTGACCTTAACTTGGCTCCAGGATCTGTGCTTGGGAAGAGAACTCTCATTAATGACTTGGATGCGGCCAATAAGAAGCTCAAGACTCAAGATTCTTCTCAGACCTCATCCTTCTCGTCTGCTGATGCTACCTCAAAGTTGTTGCTGTCTGGAATGGCTAAGGAAGCGGCCAACTTAAAGCTTCCCGCCTATGAGACCTAGTTGCTCGTATCGGCTATTACCTCTTCCACTACAAATTCTAGGAGAAATTCTGACTCGTATAGCCCAGTTAATATAGTGTCCTTGCTTGTCCTTCCATTCATATCGCTTGTCTAATCCCTTGTTTAGTCCTTATTACAGTGAGCCAGTGGGCAAGCGAGATAGTCACTATCAGATCTCCATATCAAGCCAGCCCAGTCTATATATTCATCTATCCTACTATGAGATTGACTGCTGAGGGAAGAACTTCTATACGAGCGGTCTATGCCAGTTCTTTTCTCTTGCCAGCCCATCCTAAGTTACGCTCGCGAGCTTTTAGTATTGATTAGTCATATTCTGAATTAGATTCTAGTTAACTTAGTTAAAGGGGACTACTCTACAGGGGCAGGGACCCATCCTGACGGATGAGCTGCTCCCTCCCCTCGAGTACTGCTCTAGCCCCTTTCTCGCATTGGCTGCTTGCTTTGCACGCTAAAGGCCTTTTGTTTAACGTAAAAAGGCCTTACTTAATGGGGGGTTTGTCTACAGCTATGCCGAAATGAGGCAGGTCGTAAGGTCGGTGAGGGATCAAAAGAAGTCCTGCTGCCCTGTCTTAAGCAAAGTGAGTAGACCTTCGGTCTATCCATGAGAGTGAGCCGAATGGCCTATCCCAAAAGAGGAGCACGGGAGCTCACTCACAAGGGAACCTTCCTCCGGATGCTTCCTCAGGAAGTCAAGAGCAGGACACAACAGATTCAAGGCACGAACGATAGGACATAAGAAATTACATATAATGATGCCTCGCCATTTTTACGGGAAAAGGCACTGAGTATTGTATACTACCTGCTGGACAGAGACAGGACTGAGTCGAGCCTCTTTCAGACCCTTGTTCGCAGTATGGTCTTTTCACTGAAGTCCAGGGCTTCTGAGATTCCCCTCCGAAATGCATGATCAAATCAAAGAAAAGGATGACCATTACATTAATTGCGAGAAGAGGTCTTGCAGCAGCGGTTGCATATGTAGGAGGTTTGGAAGAAAGTATGAACGGGGCCCCCTATTGGGGACTCTTCTAATCCCGATTCTGCCTTTGGAGCTATAGCTATCTGAAAATGTCATTTTAAAGTTTCGTTTTCTTCTTCGCCGATAGTCTTATAGCCTGACGATCTGTTAAGAGATGATCAATCTCTTACCAAGGAATCAGCACTAGAAGACTCCACTTGTCCGGGACAGCACAGCTCTGGAGCCTCGAGGAATAATACCCGAGGGGCTGACCTGTGACAAAACAATTGTTACGGTGTTTTCCGAACAAGTGCTATGTCAAACGTTCGCTTCAGCAGTAGAATTAACCACTACTGAGGCAAACGCCCGCTATCGAGAAGGAAAGAACTCATACATTAATCCATGCATTGACCGAGTTAGACTAATCCGACGTATGAATGCCCTGATCAGCTCCTTACCTCGACTGGCACAGGACAGGCCAATAGAAATGGCAGCTCACCCTGAAAGCCTTACAGTGAGGCAGAGACAGACATCAAGCTTGCATCTCCGTCTTGGCGTCAATCCTTCTTATCTATCTCCTACAAGCCAATTATGCAGTCTAGCTTTTACTACGATATATCTTGTTTTTGTTCGATCACAAAGAGTCAAACCAGCTACCGAAAGAGAGAGACTCAATCCGTTACCATGACTGATAGGATGATCAAGCAAGGCTTTTGAAAAAGTTCCGCTTCTCCTCTTAGTTAGAGAGGAGCAGAGACCGCTCGATCTTATCTTGTTGGTTCTTCTTCTTTTTTGTCGAATCTTAACCATGAAAGTCAGTCAATGTTGGCTTCCTCTCAGAGTTGGGATCCTCACGACCCTTTCCTTGATTGCCTGAGTGAGGATCGGAAGAAGCTCAGCTGCCAATGCAAAGTCCGCTTAGTTCAAAACTCTGAAAGCCGAAGGGAGGAAGGAACGAAGTAGCAAGCTCTTTCATACCTTACCGATAGAAAACACTAAGATGCCTTTCTTAGCCCGAAAGCAGGAAGCATTCCAACTCCAGACCTTTACGTCGGAGACTTCACTTTGAAGCAGAACTTGCACCTCCCTGTTCTCATATTATGGCATTGGCTTTAAAGGGGAAAGAAGAATTTCCAGCTTTTGGGCGCAAAGGACAACAACGAGTTTCTCCTGAGAATCTTGCCCTTTAGGACAGCAACTAGGCGAACATCTTCTACTTCGTCAGCTACCGGGGGCCAGCCTTTCCCGGAGTGAGAGTAGCTCTTGTTCTTGTTCACGACCCAGCATCTATTGAATCAGCGTAAGGAGATGTCGATGAGCTTTGGTTCAGAGCTTGAATATCCTTCAGTAACCCCAGGTGAGGAGTTCGGCTTAGGGTTAACCCGCGGTTCCGGGAGAAGAGAGGGGGGATAGTTTGAGTAGTTGAATGAATTCTCCGATTGATTTCCCGATGCACCACTTCCTATTCCCCTACTAGGACAGTTACCAGATTCATTCAGTGACAGCCTTAGGGGAAGGAATTCAATATCGGCGACTTCTTCCTCCTCAAGGCTTCCTTAGCTACAGGATCCCTATTCTAAACCTAGGTGGGTTTGGCCTTATCCCGATAGTTCTGGGCGTACTCCTCTTCCGAGATCCCTGACTATTCTATTTTGGTAAGGGAACACTCTTGTAGAGGATCACTCTTCTGCTTACTTATTTTTAGTCAGATGTGGCATTAGACTGTTTTTTCAAATAGGTTCTTCTCGAAGTGGTCATTAGTAAGCCAAGGAACTGATTGCCCCAAGGCAAAGAGTCCGTTCATGGTATAAGTCCTTTCCTTTCAACTAAGAATGCCGACTTAGGAAGAAGAGGCAGCTATTGAATCAGCTGTTACTCTTAGAGAATACGCTGTTTTTAGGTTTGGTTAGGGTTCCCAGATGGAATATGAATCACTTGTTATCATATGGGTGGGTATGGTGCGAGACATGCTTGTGTCTTCGTGTTCTCCGGATTGGGGTCATGTGGAGCGCTTTGCCACTGATCTCGATTTGAAGCTCGATGAGGACACCGGCTTGCTGACTGAAAAGCTTTTTCTCGGGTGAAAGCCTTTCAGTCAAGGAAGGAGTAAGTAAACTAGGCCCGTTTTCGAACTAGAAAGCATACCCCATTTGCCCACCGCAGGGGCTCTTTTCTCGCAAACCTCTATCAATTACAGGGGGAAGAAGGTAAAAAACCAGTACTATCGGAACTACCCTCAGACTAGCCTTCCTCGATCAAGATCTTTTCACTGCCCTTCTCATATTTCATTATTGACCCAGTTCCGGCTTGCTTCGCATAGGCTACACAAGCTTGGTCTGGGATCTTTCTTTCCTAAATCCATTTACCTTGCTAGCCTAAGGTTTAAGAGTTATCCCGGCAAAGCCTTCCTTCCAACAAGGGTAGGGTTTGGAATGCTTACGGAATGGAAAAAGGGCTAGACGGCTTACGGGATATGGGGTTTTTAGTTGGATGTTCGAGCAAGCGTAGCCTTCAGTGCTCTACGATCTTCGTTCTATTCTACGGCTAATTGTGCTACTTGAAATTTCCGTCCGTCTCGGGTATCTTGTTATCTAACGTTACTGCGCTTTCACGACACCGTAGTGGCGGTTTTAAAGATAGGATAGCGAGGCATGGAAGCTTTCTGCTATGCTATTAGAGGATTTATACTGTAAACACACACATAGACAAACCAGCACTTTTTATTCATTAATAGCCGTTACATGGGAAGTACATCCAAAAGGAAGCTTACACACACATAGATCAGCCACACAACTAAACACAACATTACAAAGTTCACAAAAACATATATATTAAGTTAAGGACTCTTCTCTTCTAGTTTCCCCCGCGGCTGCTGAACGGGCGGATCCAGTCCTTGATCGAGATTCAAACCCAGTCGCACTACTTTTCTGTGAGTTCAGACTATCATCCAATTCGTGCCGCATGTCGGGATTACTCTACTTTGACTCTATAAATGGGGGCTCAAAAAATGTCTTCTTCATCAAATTCAAACCAAAGAAAAGAAGTAATAGCACGTATGGCTACTATTGCGGATTAAGGCTCGCTGAAGTTGTAAACGAAATACAGCACGTAGAAAAACGAACTGCGCCGACGCCGGAGAACCTTAACAGCCCTTTTTTGGAGACACAGGCTCCCGGCGAACGCGAACCCTGCCGTCGTGGAAAACCACATCCGTGCGACGGACCAGATAACGATGTTTTAGTGGCAGTGTAATTCCTATGATTCTGCAGATTCAAAATCGTATGTTATGTATGATTCGATTCAGTGGATGAAAGATCGGATTATTCTCTTTAAGCATATCTTTCATCCGCATTTTCTCTAGTGGTATCTGCTGCTTAAGATTTGACCTTTACTTCCAAAACTGAAAGAACATCGTCACTCAAAAGACGAGACTTGGATCGAGGATCTATGCCTTCCCTTACGGAAAGGTCCGCTCCAACCACCGCTCATGGAATTGTTGAATTCATTTCCTCTGCCCTACCTGACTCACCGGCATCGGGCTCTCGATTGTCAGTTTGGCTTTTAATTTAAAATCCCCTCTCTCCTTCTTCCATTCCAATAAGTCTTATTAAACGGGAGATAGGCATTCGGATTCGTTACTTGGGGCTCCTTAGACGAGCGACTATGCTGAAACGGGTATGCTGCTTTGCCATGGGTTGATTGTTGCTGCTCTTTTGGGGGGGACAATGAGTTTGACTTTAGTACTCAATTTGAGACTTCATAGGCTACTTGGCGGTAGTAGGCCCAGGTCCATCATTGGCTGGTAGTCTTCACCGGCATCTCCTCTGGAAAGTTTGGTATGTATTTGAAATCGTAATCACAAGAGGAAGACCAGTAGAATAAAAACTTCCTCTCAGAAGCACGCCAAGAAAGCCAAAATATCTCCAGTGCGCTTTCCAAGCAAAAGGGCGGAGACCGGCAAAGGAAAAGAAGTTAGAATGAGAAGAATAAGGCAACGAACGACCTATCCTCACATCGACATGCATGAGCTTTTACCTTTCATTTTACTCCGGGTTCAAAAAGTACCCAAACATGCTTGGATGAATTGAGACGGTATTTTGGAATCTCCCTATCCCTAATATGGGAGAGCTCGAAAAGGACTGCTAAGGATAGGTGTCTCTAAATAGAAGTCCTTTTAGATTGACTGAACGCAGAAAGCTTCGAATAATAAGATTGACTAAGACTAGTAGCGCTGAAGTGTGCCAAGCGCTTCTCTTTATGTACCAATGCAAACAAACCGGTATTCAATCAATGCACACAAATAGGCTTGCCCCTAGTAAATAGAGCCTTTTTTGAGGTCCAACACTCCTATGACGGGCTAGGTTTCAACACCATTCACTTGTAAGGCCCCCTCTATTACCGACAGCGGAAATGCCATGAACAGCGGGTAGGCAGGTTATTCTCGATGCAGTGGGAAGAGTAAGAGCGGTAAGGCTTATTACCAACACTGGGTATTCAATAGCCAGGGATAGGGATGAAAGACCAGCCTATTCCCCCAAAAGCAAGAGCGGATACGAGTACTCAAGCAGCGGCAGCACTCACAGCTGATTCACTTGTGCTATCCCCTTCCCCTGCAATTGGCTATTTGGATTCTAAAGCGCATTAAAAGCTGCTTAAACAAAGCGTAAACGCACAATCAACGGAAGGCTTTCTTGAAACCACCTTTACTTCGTTCACTCCTGACCTGACAGAAGCTATGAAACCATCCATAGGGTAGGGGTGACTAAGCCCGCGAATCGAATGGTTAAAAAGCCGACTCTGTATACTGACTGCACTGCTCCCTCTTGACAGTTTGCTTCTGTTAGAGCTATTGTGTCACTGTCATTCCATACTTTCTCTGTCGATACCGAACACGGTAACTAACCTATTGACTAACGGTGTTTACAGAGTGGCTCCGAGTGACAACTAGACTTGCACACTCCTTACTTCTGCTATAAGCTATAAAAAAAAATAGGGCAGGGAGCTTGTGACTAAGCCGCTGGGGAGACTAATACGAACCCGAATCCGGGAAAGGATCCGTAGACAGCACTGTGGATGGAGTACCGCTCACTGCACGGCTAAGGGAACTCTGTCTTGTATGCTAAGAGAAAGTCTTCGGTACAACTCTTCTTTCCTCCGTTCAACCACCTTCTCGGTCAAAAGCTCTCCATCTTCGTCCCCAGGTGATTCATAGCTCACAATGAAATGGGCTTCACGTGCTGAAATCACCTGGCCTGGAAACCATGATCCACCATCAGGCTCATTGTCTCTTCCCAAAATTTCCACTAGATTCCCTCTTCTCAACTTTATTGATCCAAGTGCTGTTCCAGAATTTTCAAAGCACCTGAGACAAGGATTCATGAGAGGAAATAAATCATACATATACTAGAATAAGGAGCAGTCAGTTATTCCACCGAGGGGTGTACATGGGTCGGGTGGTTCGGGTTTAGCTATTTTAATCACCCAACCCATATACTACGGTTTGGAAAAAATCAAACCCAAACCCACCAAAAAAAAAAATTAAACCCTACGGTTTGTTTCTAATTGGGTTGGGTCGGGTTGACAATATTTTTAAGTAAAAACTCAACCCAACATAAAATATATAATTATTCTACATCTTAAAAATATTTTATAACTAATTAAAATTTCAAACGAATAAACCGAGGTGAAAGGTATCAAAATTCACAAATGTTGTTTGAATTTTAATAAAATATGATTTACTTCAAAATATGTCTAGTTTTTTCACGATATTTGTTGAAATAGGCTAAAAAGGTTATAAACAAACGCATCCACAATATGTTATTCTATTAAAATTGTACACAAGAAAAAAGATTACGTGAATCATAACTATATTCAATTTCTGTCTAAACTTTAAGTCGAAGAATGCATTAGATTAGGGAGACCATGAGAGAAAAACATGGCGAAATATCTTAATTTTCACATAAGTATGGCTGTATACGACATAACTATTTTTTAGATACGAACTCATACTAATAGTTGGAACACGGGTTGGGTCGGATTCTACGGGTTGTGTAATCTAAAATCCAAACCCAACTCAAAATAGACGGGTTGTACAAAACAAAACCCCCACCCAACCCAAAATCTTTGTTTAAGCGATAAATATAGATGAGTTGGGTCGGTTTGGACGGGTGGGTCATTTGCGGGTGTGTTTGTTCACCCCTAATTCCACCAACACAAGAATAATAATGGAGAGCTGGAGATAACTGATAAGGAGCATGTCGTGTGTGCTTGGGTTGTGATAGCCGTCAGGCCCGATGGATTGGTGCCCAAAAGCAGGTATAGCTGGCCAATAGCTCATATATAACTTAAGCCCAAACTAGTAAAACAATGGTTGGAGGCTGTAGTTAAGGCCAGCTCTACGGTGCCTCTATAAAAAATGCGGCACCGGTGCCGCAAGTTTCTATTGGTCCACATGTTTGTCTCCGTAGCATTAGTTCTGGACATCTAACCGAAATATGCAAACCTTTACTCGGTTCAATCCATTTTTAACCGACCCAAGAACTTGTTATTTTGGTTAGACTCCAGATAGAAACCAGTCGCCCCCCTCCTTCTTCCCGCTGTCCAATTGCCAAAGGAACAAACGTTCCGGCGAACTGCTCTGTCGATGACCAAACTCCTCTCCAATCTCTTCAATTTACCTACACTATATTCATTGACTATCTTCCTCCTCGAAATTGTTGGGCCGTGGCCCAATGTTTGTCTCGACGGATCGGACCAGCAGGCCTCGTCACTCAAAGCCCACTCAACAGAATGACCTTCGTCGAGATCACCAAGAGCGTCTTCACCTCCATTCCAATCCCTAGACACCAGAGCTCCATAAAGATGTTCCTGCAACGATTAAAGACTTGATCAATTCAAGTATGTTCCAACGACACCATCATTGAAGAAGAGAGAGATTGACTCATGCTTCAGCAGCCTACTTAAGGACATTTCAATGAAGGATTCGGGCAACGGTTTCCTTTCTCAGTAAGAGCAGGGTAGCTCTCTGGGAGAACAGGTTAGGGTTCGGATTAAGTGTTTGGAGAGCTTGAGTTGGGGCTTTCAGCCAGGAACTCAAGCTTATCCGGGCGTAGCTCCCTTTCTGTTTCTTCCTTCTTCAATTGTTCGCTTTACCTTTGAGAGAATTATCTTTGAACAATTGAGTGAAATCCGACTAGGTTTTCCCAGTGTTATTCATGTCTTCAAATACAATTGAATTGAGTTAAAGTGTGTGTCTTCTGATAACTTGCATATAAGGAATGAATTAGTAGACATTGGTGTCTAACAATTGGTATCAGAGCCCCCTCTCGTGGAACTTCTGTTGCCGAGTAGGAGATTGATAACGATGTAATTGCACATGTTTGTGCCCCTAGTTCTTATCCGTTTGAGGGGCATAGTCGTGTGTTGTGGCCTATTTTACGCCGGGTTGTGCTATTTTGTCATGTTTCAGGTCCCAGGTGTCAAAGGGAAGGCTAAGCGCGAGTTTCGGGGCATTCGGAAGTCATTTCGGTGAGCTGGAGCCAAAACACGGGCAGCCTAAGGCATTACACGGCCGTGTACTGCTGGCCGTGCTTTTTATGCCGAGAGCAAATTCAGTTTGGCCAATTCAGCTGCAAACACGAGCACCGAAGCACGACCGTGTTCAGTCAAAGCACGGCCGTGTACATTGCGAAGCACGGCCGTGTTTAACCCACTTGCTGGCCGTGTAATTAAGCCCTGGCCGAGGCACGGGCGGAGTCAGGCAAAGCACGGCCGTGCCCTCGACCGTGCTTTGGCCACTGATGCTTTTAAGCAGAGTTTCAGCCACAATTCAAGGGGATTCGAGTTTCAGAGAGAGAGATCAGTTCCTAGAGAGAGAAAGCGACGAACAAGAGTCTCCAAGCGCCCTAGCTTGATCTTCAACACCATTGGAGGCTTGTTTGAGCTTGAAGGAGTGCCGATCAACGTCCAGAAGCAGGAATCCATCCTTCACAGTATGAATTCCGCGTCTGATTCTGCTTTTGCTTTCTTCTCCATGGAGTAGTTCTCCCATTCATCTGGGTATGGAGAACCCTAGATTTGTATGTTAGGCTTTGATTGTATGAACCCAAGTACTGATTCTGTGATTGATTATATTCGATTGAGGTTTTAATGATTGAATGACTTGAATCCTGATCAAATTCCTGTTGTTTCTGCTTTAACCTAGAATGAGAATATCTGACTAGGTTAATAGAGTATCCTTGATTGAAGGTAGGGAGTTGGTGACTTTAGTCGAGGAACCAACTCACTATTCTGTACCGGATTTACTCCGGTAGTGGAGGTTTTGTTCTTAGGGCCTCAATCTGTCGACTCCGGTGGAGGTTAGTCGCCCGCTAGAGAGTCAGATTGAGAGGGTCTGAAGACCTTTAGTCGAGACTTCAGCCTGTTTAAGAACCTTCCGCAGTATAACTGTCATAGAAACTGAACTTGGTAATTACAATCCGGCTTAACTGCAGTCTAGGGGGAACCATATCCGGGTGACCTCTTTAACCTGAATACAACAGTTTACTTGCTTTGTTATTCTGTTAGTTTAGACTTGCATTCCAGTTTCATTGCTAGATAACAAGAATTCACTGAGTAGTCATCAGATCTAGGACCCGGGTTGACATATAAACCTAAACTGGCTATACTACGCTTTAGGGAGTGGTTACACTTGGCCAATTCCTGGAGTGACAGTAGAGTCGAGTCAAGTTTTTGGCGCCGTTGCCGGGGACGGCTAGGTTGTTGAAGAAAAGTTATTTCTGTTAATTTAGCTTTTCTTTTTGCTTTGTTTTCTTTGTCCCACTTGTGCCTTCACGGGTTTGTTGCTTGAGTGTGTGCAGGTAGTGCATGACCCGTAGCCAGTCGGGAGGTTTACTGCCGTTGAATCCAGAGATTGACCGCACCTGTTGCCAGCTCAGGAGACAACAGCGAGCTAGACTGGCTACGGAAGAGCGCATAGACGGCCACCTGAGCAGCGATTCTGAAGAAGAGCACGGGATGGACGGAGACTACAACCAACACCAGGGGAATCCACAGCAGGTTCCCCCGGTGAATCAGGTCCTGGGGAACAACCCCATACCCCAGGACCATGGAGTTCATCATTCCCCGCAGCCGGGCCCCACCTTGGAGTACTACTACACTCCTCGGATTGCTGACATCCGCCCGGTCATCCTCTACCCGCCGATCCCAGCAAACAACTTCGAGATCAAGCCATGCTGGATTCAGCTCATCACATCCTCGATCCAGTTTCATGGCTTGAAGGATGAGGAGGCCAGGGTACATCTATCCCGTTTTCTGCAGCTGACAAACGGGTTCAAGCTGAACGGTGTCCCGGATGATGCAATCCGCCTTCACCTCTTCCCCCATTCTCTGGCGGGGAATGCTAAGAGGTGGTTGGAGACCCAGCCCCCATTGTCCATCACCTCTTGGGACGATCTGGCTGACAAGTTCGTGCACAGGTATTATCCAGCATCGAAGACTACAGAGATCCAGCGGGAGATCACTCACTTCCGCCAAGAGCCAGATGAGTCACTTCGGGATGCTTGGGAGCGATACATGGGCTATTTCTGGCAGTGCCCCCATCATGGCTTCAGCGATGCATTCACTGTGGGGAACTTTTACAGTGCCCTCTCTCCAGATAGCCAGAGGGTGATTGAGTCTTTATGCCCAGGAGGGGATGTTCTCACTAAGACTCCACCAGAGCTGAACCAGATGATTAATACATTGGCTGCCAGAGATCATTGTTGGGGACAGGGTAGTCGAGGCAGACAGTCCCGGGACCGTGGTGTGCACGCCATGGAGACCAGATCCGGGCTCGAGCAGCAGGTAGCTGAGCTAGTGCAGACATTGAAGCAGCCTAACAGTCTGATTCCGCGCAGAGGTTTGGCTACACCTCCAGTTGCTCAGTGTCAGTGGTGTGAGAGCTCCAATCACCTAGTGGAGGACTGCCAGGCTATGAGGGAGTCTACCACACCCCAGGAGCAGTTGGCCTTCATCGCCAATGCGAGGCGCCTCGATCCATACAGTAGCACATATAATGAGGGGTGGCGCCAGCATCCCAACTTTGCCTGGAGCAGCAACACCACTAAACCACCTGGTTTCCCAGCACCAGCAGGTGGTTTTCAGCAGAGGCAGCCCTACCAGGCTTGACAGGGGCCAGTTCCACAGCAGCCATTCCAGCAGCCCCAGCGCCAGTTTGCCGAGCCAGCAGCAGCTCCAGCCCCAGATGACAGGATGACGAAGCTGGAGAACATTCTAGCCTCATTCATGACGAGCACTCAGGCGACTATCACGAGGTTGGACCAGAGTGTAGCCTCACTGGAGGCAGGTCAGAGGAACCAGGGTGCCATTTTGCAGGATCTGCAGACCCAGGTGGGCATCTTGGCCCGCCAAAACACTACCAGGGCACCGGGGACTCTGCCTGCCACCACTGTTACGAATCCTCGAGATCCTCACCAGCATCAGCAGCTGGATGCCATTTTTACCAGGAGCGGTAAGACCATATCTGCTGATCCTGTCCCGGCCAGACAGGAGGAACCACTGCCTGCTTCAGCACTTCCAGCCGACGATGCAGAAGTGCGGGTGGAGAAAGAAGCCCCTGCTCC